CCTTTCTATAACATCAAGAAATGGTTAGATATTCTAGTCTTCTCGGATAGGGACGAATAAATGGAGGTCCCGTCTCCTGCAGGGTTGGGGTAGGAGACGTTAATTTCCCACACACGAGATTACTGTGTGATGGATGTCCTCCCCTGGGGTGGGATGGGTGGGATATTGGGCGCACTTAATTTGGAGCCTCGCTCTGTTGTGCGACCCTCACCATACTCTGGTGAAAGTAATTAAATAAACATCACACAATGTCCCAGCCAAGTTTTCGATCGAAACATGGTCCAGTCTGCTTGTCACGTGGATTGATGGGTAGAAAAACTAACCAAAAGCAAAACACAACACGCTCTTTCTGCCACAACTTGAAAGGCGTTCGACAGGCTCGTGGACTGAGTCACTCTTTACCATAAACAGATCACGTTGCGAGGTAGGGGAAAAAAAAAATAAGAAATGGAAAATAAAAAAAAAAATAAGTGGAAGAAGAAGACGAATACAAGCTTTTTATTGCAAAACTCGATGATATATGTTCTTGTTAACTTCCGGCCGTCATATTTATACCCCTCAAATGGACACAAACATTGTGTTTCCAAACAAAGCTTTACGCATTTGAGTAAAACATTCTTTCGAATACTCCAGCACAAAACCTCGCACAGACCTGAATCGTTGCGAGACTTTTTGAATATTCATCTTCTTTTATCTCTTTGACTCTTGACTTTATTTTTCGGATGGTTTTGATGATAGTGCGACAGTGGCAATATAAAAAGAAAGAAAAAAATTGCATACTTAGATGGTCAGCAGTGTGTACCATCCACGACAAGTTCGGCCCGCCCTAGACACACCCCTTTATCCGCCCCCGAAAACACATGTACAAATAGTTAGATTTTAGAGTGAGTTTACTGAAAATTCTTGATTTCAGTTGTGTTTATAATTACATGACTCCCCTATGTTGATAAACTACCATAATTTCCTTATCTCTTTAACCAGTGGAGGATATGACACGATTGTTCCAGCGGAATTTTTTTTTCGAAAAAAAATGCATGCATCAGTCATGCAAAGCGGGCGCGATATAAACGAGCGGGAGTCGGGAAGGTAAACGACCTTCGATTATGGAGGGCTCCACCATGCTAAAGCAAACTCGAGAAACGAAGGTTTTAGTATTGTATACAGGCGGAACGATTGGAATGAAGAAAACAGATGGAGGTAAAAGATCGTTCAATAATTTTCCTCTATGTTTTGTTTGGCGTCTCATGTTGTCAGACTGAACGTCTGATAACGCAATGATCATATTAATTATGCTTTGTTTCACTTTGTTTAGGATATCAGCCGAAATCTGGCCACCTTCAGTCGCAAATAAAGCGACTTCCTATGTTGTATGATGTTGAATATGCAAAGATTGAACCTAAAGAAAGTGTTACGTCTTTTGGTACTTCCGCGCTGGAAGAGTTAGCCATGCCGTAAGTCTATTTACAATAAGCGTGCGTGTTCAGCTGTTTGAATGAATTATTTAGGCTTTTGTGAAAAGCGTTTAGTTTTTATACCCTGCTGATTTGTTCGATGTGGTCTTAGCGAGCGATAATCAGCTGTTGATTGTAGCAATGTATTTAATTCGAGAGTTACTGTATTACAAAATGTCTGCGTCGACAAACGGGAGTCAAAATTTTTTTCTCACTGACCGACACATTTGAAAAGATTATAAGCGAACAACTGTAAAAATACATCGTCCAATCAGAGACACGAACGATAGTATTTCACAGTGCATATTTCAGTATGTATAACGGCGCCTGTTTGAACCCTGCAACTTCTAAGATCGTCTTCGCCCTTCTCCCCCCTGGCTGCGATACATTTTGTTGTAAATAAGTTCAGAGAGTGATAGTTGCCTTTAGGTAACACCTCCTTAGAAAAGACAAGTTTTGGGACTCTCATTACTTTTTTGCGAGATATTTTGAGAGTGTTTAGAGAATTAAGTTACAAGTTATTGACTCGAGAGGTAAAGCTTACAGAAGCAGTTATCTGAGAAGACTTACCAGTTTCTAACTGGCGACTAATTTCTAAAGTCCAACTACTCATACGAATCAACTTTTGACAGCTACCTAAAAACTCAACGACAGTACAGTGGAACCTCCCTTTGCGACCGCCTCTCGTTAGTGACAACTTTTTCAAAATATCAAAAGTTTCCAAGTCAATTCACAATGAATGGAACCTCTCATAAGCGACAACATCTCATAAGTAACCATTTTTGGAGATGCTTGGTAGCAATTTTCAACTGTTTTTAACCTCCCGTAAGCGGTCACACGACAGACAATCGGCTTTATTCTTATGAGCGGGAACTGAAAATTGTTTCAACAGAGGTCGTAAAAATGGAGCCACCAGAGGTGTTTTCCAGAATAGCTTTGCCGCGTGAATTTTTACCTGTATTACGTTCTTGGAAGAATTTGGACAGCATCACCTAGAATAACAAATGAGCCAAGTTCCTTTCGCTTGAATTGTCCCAAACACGCTGTATTAAAATAATTATGAGATACAAAATAATCATTATAGATCCTAAGTTTTTTTTAATAATAATAGTAATAATAATAATAATAATAATGATAATAATAATAATTATAATGATAATAATAATAATGATAATAATAATAATAATGATAATAATAACAATAATAGTAATAATAATAATAATAATAATAATAGCTTTCAGAAGACTGTATTAAATGATTTTAAAATAGCAGCGTTTGAGTGGCAAGAGGAACCAGCTTGCGATGTCAACAAGAAAGGAGTGAAATTGGAAAAATTAAATGTCCTTGGTTTAGGGTTAAGGGTTAAGTGTTGGCTGTTGTCCAGAAACATCAATGTGAACTAGCGTAGTTTCGTATTTAAAACGAAAGCACCAGTTTTCATGTTTCAATATTTCGCTGAATTCGTCTCAATGATACCTTTACAAGTTCAAGTAAGGAGGGTTTTCACACCTATGTTAAGCATTCGAACACATCTATACTATTCTTACATCGTATATTCTTAAGCTAACTATTAGTTTAGTTTGTTATCCATTACTTTCGTTTGCATTTTTAAAAATATTGAGATGAAATTGTCAGCGATATTTTGCAGGCTATTAACATAGCAGATGATCAATTTGCGTGTGCCAGAGGCAAAAAAAATTTGTAAAACTTCGTGTACGTGTCTCGTAAGCAGATGTTTTGAACACAACATGGCAACTTCAGATGAAGAATCTCACTGCAAACTGCCTCTCGGATTGCCTGGTGAAATCGTAGCAATGGTTTTGTACACTTTGCTTACCACTGTCGGATCGTTGGGAAACTTGTTCGTGATTCTTGTTATCAACCGGACACCAACTTTGAGGAACGTGTGCGGAATCTTGATAACAAATTTGGCAGTAGCTGATCTGATGGTGACAGCAGTAGTAATGCCTTTAGTAGTTTATGTCCTAATTCAGGGGCTTTTGGATGAGTGCATATATCAAACTCCGGTTTTCGCTGCCTGGATAATAGCACTTTTCTCTGCTGGTTCCTCGCTAAAGACGCTAACTACCCTCAGTGTGGATCGTTGCTTTGCCATCTGTCGCCCGATAAAACACAAAACAATCGTAACTATAACAAAAGCAAAGTTTGCAATCGCAATGACATGGGTGGGATCTTTAATCCTTCCTCTTTTAGAGACATTCAATCCTGGATCAACACCCTCCAAATTTTTTCAGACCATTGGAGTGGTTTGCTATTATTCTATCATGGTCATGAGCGGTATTTTTACAATCAGGCATGTGCGCGCAAACTCACGACAAATAGGATCACTACACCAGGACCAAGGAGTTTCTCGCCTCGCTGCAGATTTGAACCAGAGGAACAAACAAGTCGCAAAGACGATCGGTCTCGTTGCGTTCGTCTTCACTCTTTGTTGGATCCCAATTGCGTATCTTATTGGTAATGAGATCAATAAAGACAGGAATGACAGACTCTATTTCTGGTTCGCCTCCGTGGGACTCGCCAACTCAGCAGTAAACCCGTGGATTTACTTCTATCGACAGTCAAACTACCGTAAAGCGCTCAAATCTTTACTCGATTACAAACGCGTTACATCTAAGAGTGTTGTGCAAGAGCAAAATCGCAGTACAACACAGGGGACTAAAGTGAACACGTGAAGGAAAAGGCGGCGCTTTGTTCGAACCCTTAAACACCTGAGATCGTCTTTGCAATTCTCCCCCTTGGCTACGATACATTTTGTTGTAAATAAGTTCAGAGAGTGAGAGTTCGCTAAAGCTAAAGATAACACCTGATGGGTCTTTTTCGCGGGATAACGTTTTGAAAGTGTTACGAGAAATTAGAAATACATTCACTTTGAAGGCACAGCTTGTCGCAGTGGTCACCCGAGAAGATTAACCAATTTTTAACTGTCAACTAAATTCTTAATTCTAACTGCTAATACAAATCAATTTTTTGAAAGCTATCAAAAAACTGGATATATTTGGATCTAGAGTAATATTTTTGATACGTTTGCAGTAAAAATTTCAAATTTTTCGATAGCACTTTACGAAAGTGAAGCGATCCCGCAGATGTATTAAAATGTTAATGAAAACTACTTTGGAAAGATGATAACTTCTTCGAGACGGTTTTCTAAAACGTTTTTCGCCTAGCTGTGAAGTTTCCGCTACAGAATGTAAATAACTCTTTGACGTTCCTTTCATTATAACCAAATCCGTAGTAATAAAAAATATTGCCTGAAATAGTTCGCAGTTGATTGTATTGATTGATTTAAACAGTAACGTTTCAGTAGAGTTAAGACACCACACGGAACCAAGTACAACAGCGATGTCAACGAGAAAAGGGTAAGATAGGTGTGTTGCTAGCCGAAGAGTTTCCACGGTTTTAAAGTACTCCTTTATTTCACAGTCATCGCAGGGAGTGTAGACGTTCAAAATCTAAATTACAGAGTTGAAGTTAGTAGGGGAAATGCAAATGTCAACTTCAATCAAAGAAAGACATTTACCCAGTGGCGTCTCACAGTTCTTCTGACCAACAAGTCATAAAGTTGTAAATTACTTCTATGACGTCATCAAAATATACAAATTGCGGAGTGTTCGAAAGTTGCGGCCTTAATTAACTTGCGCAATACAAATCACATATTTAGCAATACAATAGGGAAAATGAAATAATCAAGCTATTCGCCGGGCTCGTGTCAAAGTCTTTCCTGTTGTCTACGAAACACAAGTATGACACTGTTTCAATTTTAATACGTCGATTCAGATTGGGAACGGAAGCATCAACAACAGAAAAGTTTTCATGTTTCCACATTTCGCTGAATTCAACTCGGTGTTGCCTTCTCGAGTCCATAAAAAAGAGAGTTTTCACCCCTATGTTTACCATTCCGGAACGCATCTATGGAAAGGCAAATATTTGTTGACTTTTTAATCAGTACTTTCGTTTGCATTTTTAAAAATGATTTCATTAAATTGTTGGCGATAGTTCGAAGAGCTTTAGCATAACAGATGATTTATTGACGATTCGGTGTCATCGATCTTGACGCTATTATTAATCTCACGGTTATAAGAACAAAATCGTCAGGGACACTTTTTTTAAGAATCGTTGATGTACAGGTGAATTATTGAGTAAGAGTGAGAACGTAAAATAAATTGTTTTAAACTACGATGTCTGGTATTCCAATGTTTAGGAGAAACCCGAAATGTTATCACATGTGGATATCAAGTTAATTAGCATGTGCCAGGGAGAAAACAAATTTGTAAGACTTCGTGTAGTTTGTGCCTTCTGAGCAGATTTCTCGACACAACATGGCGACTTCAGATGGGGAATCTCACTACAAATTAAACTACCTCTCGGATTTGTCGGTGAAGTCGTGGCAACAGTTTTGAACGCCTCACTCGCTATAGTCGCATCGCTGGGAAACATCCACTCTGTGCTGGATCCCATTCGCGCTTATCATCGGTATTGAGATCGATGCAGACAGGAATCACGAGATCCATTTATGGTTCGGTACACTGGGACGCGCCAACTCAGCAGTAAACTCGTGGATTTATTTTTATCGTCAGCGAAACTACCGCTCGGATGCCAAACTACCGCTCGGACGCCAACTCAGCAGTAAACTCGTGGATTTATTTTTATCGTCAGCCAAACTACTGCTCGGATGCAAGTGAAGCTTCTATACATTTTGCTGCAAATATTAAGTTCAGACAATTGAGTGATACATAAGGGTAACTTCTGCTTAGAAATGTTAAGTTTAAGGAGTCCCATCAACTATTTACGGGCAATCAATTTGAATTTTTGTTTTGTTTTGTTTTTTTTTTTTCTATTGAAGAGATTCAGAGAAAATGTACCCTCTGCTGGAACCATACTTTTGGTTGGGTCTTTTTTTTTTTAACCTTTAGTGACTTGCATCTGATTTATCGTACTATATCACCCTTAAATCAAACATTAACGTCATGAAAACAAGGGAAATGCTCACCAACTAAGGAAGCTCATGATTATCAGACAAATTATCCTTGTCAACACTTCAGGAAGTGTATGTAGAGCAGTGTGGAGAATATGCATACTGATGTTAGGGTGTGAAGGATTAGACTTTTCTTCATGTTTTGAATTTCAGGCCGTTTGCCGCAACAACGTAGATACTGTTGCCTTCTTGCTGGAGCATGGTGTAAACCCTTACCTCCGTGACATTTTTGGCAGCACCCCCTTGGACAATGCTAAGTCGTATGAATTGGTCAAGATTATCGATATGTTAGACGAATACTGCGGAATAAAGCAGTTTAATGTTCTCTCACTAACTAAATGATCTTGAATACTTATTTTACATGTCTTTAAATATGGACAAATAGCTTGTTTCACGTTTTCAGTTGGTAAAACAGGGCGAAATAGTAAACAGCGCGCCAGTAGCGGCTGGGTGAAAAAATGAGGGAAGCTTGGGTCGAGTTGCGAAGAGAACTCCGGTATGCAACCCGACCCAACCTTCTCTTTCTTGCTTCTTTGGCGCCGTTTTTAGTCGCGCATCATTTTACCGACTGAGTGCCTCGAACAAGCTGATGAACAAATGGATTTAGAAGATTCAAAGTGAAATGTTATAAATAAGGAAAATATGTTCAAATTAAGTTAAGTCAAGGAGATTGTAGTACCGTTAAGACTACCAGAGAGAGATGTTTTCAATATGAGGAAGATTGCGCGCGGGTGACTCAACATTATTTAGAAAGGAAAGCGAGGTAGCCGACTTTTAATTCTCACGCGACTGGCAAATTATCGAAAACGATTAAAAACTTGTTATTGACGAGATACTGAGGACAAGTTTCCGTAACGGCCACTTAAAAAAACCTGCATCAGTTTTAGCTTTGCAATACTCCATTGAAAATCGCTCTTTCAGCTGAAACTGCAAAATTGGGAAAGTTGTTTTAAAGTTATTTTTAAAGGCTGTCAACTATTTGAGGGATGTGATGTTATTTATTTTTGTATATGTGTTTTGGGTCGCTCATAAATTTTATTTATAGAAATCATCAAAGTATTTATTCACCATTCGAAGGAGCATGTAGTATGTAGGCATTTTATTTACACGAGAAAATAACTTTCAGTGTTTCGTTCACCAAATTTGCCTTAACATGTTTGTTTGTATTCATGAGAGCGCCAACCGCTATTTTGTTTGTTTGTTTGTTTTTATAACCCTGTAACTCCAAAGTTCTGATACTGAATTCTACCCTCTAGCTGCTACACATTTTCTTGTAAATTAGTTATGGGAATTTTTAGACTTTCTCAAAGTCGTTCACTTGGTTTTCTGTTCTTTGTACATGTGTTTTGGGTCGCTCACATAAATTTTATTTATAGAAATCATCAAAGTATTTATTCACCATTCGAAGGAGCATTCGCTCGGCTCGGCTCGGGCTTCGCGCTCAAAAGCGCGACTTGTGAGCAAGTCTAGGGAATTTCGTGTTAGATCAGGATAACAATTTTTAGCTGATAAGTTTGAGTACTCCCATTACCTGTTTGGTGGATAATGTATGAATGTGGTAGGAAGANCACCGTGACAATTTTTATTCAAGAGTTGCGATGCACCAAAAACAAAATACAAAAAAAAAAAGCAAGCAAACAAACAAAACTAACGGGTGTGTGCGGCGAGCAAGTACATACTGAGATTTTTTCTCACTGACCGACACATTTGAAAAGATTATAAGCGAACAACTGTAAAAAGACATCGTCCAATCAGAGACACGAACGATAGTATTTCACAGTGCATATTTCAGTATGTATAATGGCGCCTGTTTGAACCCTGCAACTTCTAAGATCGTCTTCGCCCTTCTCAGCAGTAAACTCGTGGATTTATTTTTATCGTCAGCCAAACTGACTACTGCTCGGATGCAAGTGAAGCTTCTATACATTTTGTTGCAAATATTAAGTTCAGACAATTGAGTGATACATAAGGGTAACTTCTGCTTAGAAATGTTAAGTTTAAGGAGTCCCATCAACTATTTACGGGCAATCAATTTGAAAGTGTTAGGAGAGGTTGGTGGATTTCCTCTTCAGAAGTAACGGTTGTCGAAGTGGTTATTGAGATGCTGGTCTAACCAGTTTTTAATCATAATGTTGGCTCATATCAATTTTCCATTGAGCCGTCGAAAGTAACGCGGGATCGCATCGGTTTTGCTTTACTTCGCTCTGTGATTGGTCCAGAAAACTCTTGCCACTATCTTTACCAATCAGATGCGAAACTGAATGACCACGTGATTAGCTGGGCTCGCGTGAAAGTCTTTGCTATTGTCTACAAAACATCAACCTGAAACTGCCTTATTTGGCGTAATTTTACTTTAAAAACGGAAACATCAAAAGAAAATTTTCTCGCTTCAATGCAGAATTGAACCAGAGGAAGAAACAAGTCGTCAAGACAGTTGTACTTGTCGTGTTCTTCCCATAGGTATTGAGGTTGATTGAAACAGGAAGGACAAGTTCTACCTCTTGTACGCTACACTGGGACTCGCTAACTCAGAAGTAAACCCGTGGGTTTATTTTTATCGTCAGCCAAACCACCCCCGCCAAGCAAGACGCTGAAATCTTTGCTCGGATGCAAACGAGGCCCATCTTACGTTGTCGTGCAAGTGCAAAATCGCAGCATGTATAATAAAAGGTGGTGCCTTGTTGGACACTTCAAACTCTGAAGATCGTGTTCGTAATTCTCTTCTCTAGCTGCAGTACACCTCGTTGTAAAGGAGTACAGAGAATTGAGAGTTACATAGTGGTAACACTGCTAAACTGATAAGTTTGAGGACTTTCCTCACCTTTCTGCGGGACTGAGAACATTTCGAAACTGTTAGGACTGAAAAGTTAAAAGTTATTCATTTTATAGAAACTAGTTTCATGAGAAGACTCCGAACCAAGATTCCTAATTCCTAAATCTTAATGCAAAATATGGATTAACTTTTGAATGCTACCTGAAAACGCGCAGGCAATATTTGGATTTAGAGTTTACCATTAAATTTTCTCCGATTCTTATCGGTTTAAATTGATCACGTGACGCGATAGTATCCATCCGTGGAGAGACACTAACAGCCCATAGTGCCTGTCCGCGGAAAATACCCGGATGCATAGTACTCATCCGCGAAAATTTTTGAATGGTTTGACGACCGTGAAGTTAGGCATATCGGAAAAACAGTGACTTTTCTGGTGTAACATATTTGGCTATGTACGGTTGCGAATTATTGACATTTGTGACAGGCTGTACGCATGAATAAATATTTGATTGATCTGCATTTAGTGCGTTTTGACTGTTTTCCAACTGGCGCACGGAAGATAATTTAGTGGTGAACAATAAAGACAATAGAGTGTTTATGCCTCGGAACTATCGGTCTGATAGTTGCCCCTTGGAAATTTGATGTTCTTAAAAATAGCATATTTGTCCTCGAAGATCAAATTTCCGCGGGGCAACCATCAGCCGATAGTTCCTCGACAGAAACACTCTATTGTTGAGGCAATGCTGCAGATGTTATTCGTAATGAAATGACTTTGAAACGCTGACGACTCCTTTGAAAAGGTTTTTAGAAGCTATTTCTCTATATTTGAGGATAGTTTGGGAAATTTCCGCTAAAGATTAACACAGTGAAATAATAATTGACGTTTGTGTGTGGTCGTGACGCCCTCGGCATCAAAACATAATGACCAGTGAAAGCTGTAGCCTGCAGAAGATTGTATTAAGTGATTTTGGGCGTCTGTAAGACGTCACGAGGAACCAGCCATCCACAGCAGCTAGCAATGTCAACAAGATAGGAGTGAAATTGGAAAATTGAGTTGACCTTGCCATTGGCCGGGCTCGTGTTAAAAGTCTTTGATGTTGTCTGCGAAATAAAGCGTAGTTTCACATTGAGAACGGAATATAATTACCAACGACAAATTTTTCATGTTTCGACATTTCGCTCAATTCGTCTCAGTGTTGCCTTCACAAATAAAAAAAAAAAGGAGAGTTTTTTCCCTTATGTTTAGCCTTCGAACACATCTTCATATTCTCACAACAGATGCTCTTAAGGTAATTACCAGTTAACTTAGAAACTTAATTAACTAGTACTTTCATTTGCATTTTTAAAAATGTTGAATAAAATTGTTCAGTAGCGATAGTTTTCAGGCTATTTACGTAAGAGATGATTAATTAGTGAACGCAGAAGTGAAAACAAATTTGAAAAACTTCGTTTACGTGTCTTCTGGGCAGATGTCTCGATTATAACATGGCGTCCTCAGACGAAGAATCTTACTGCAAACTGCCTCTCGGATTCACTGGTGAAATCGTGGCAATGGTTTTGTACACTTCGCTTATCATCATCGGATCTTCAGGAAACATGTTCGTGATTCTTGCCATTAACCGGACTCCAGCTTTAAAGAACGTGTGCGGAATCTTGATAGCAAATGTGGCAGTAGCTGATCTGATGGTTACATCAGTAGTGATGCCTTTAGTTGTGTATGTCCATATTCAGGGGTTTTTGGATAGGTGCACTTTCCTTACCCCGGTTTTCGTTGCCTGGATAATAGCACTTTTCTCCGCTGGTTCCTCGCTACTGACGCTAACTGCCCTCAGTATGGATCGGTGCTTTGCTATCTGTCGTCCGATGAGACATAAAACGATTGTGACTAAAACAAAGGCAAAGATAGTCACGGCAATAATATGGATGGCATCTTTGACCCTTCCTCTTTTAGAAATCTTCTACCATGGATCGGCTCTCGCAAAGTATCTTCAGACCGTTGGTGTGGTGTGCTGTTATTCCATCATAGTCGTGGGCGGTATTTTTACGGTCAGGCATGTGCGTGCAAAGTCACGACAAATAGTATCACTACACCAGGATCAAGGAACTTCTCACCTCACTGCAGCTTTGAACCAGAGGAACAAACAAGTCGCAAAGACAATTGCACTTGTTGTGTTTTTCTTCACTCTCTGTTGGATCCCAATAGCGTATCTTACAGGTATTGAGATCAACGAAGCCAGGAACTACAGAGTCTATTTCTGGTTCGCTACAGTGGGACTCGCTAACTCAATCGTAAACCCATTGATTTACTTCTATCGGCAACCAAACTACCGTAAAGCGCTCAAATCTTTACTTGGATGTAAACAAGGCGCATCTAATGGTGTCGCGCCATTGCTGCGGCAAAAACACAGTGCAACCTAAATGAATAAGAGAAGACTTGAAGGAAATAGAAATTATTCCCTGGAAAGTGCGCACGAACGATTTTTATCCAAGAGGTGCGATGCGCCAAAAAAAAAAAAAAAACCAACGGCTGTGTGCGGCGAAAAAGTTTTTATTTCGTTCACTTTACTGAGATTTTTTCCTACTGACCAACACATTTCAAAGATTGCAAGCAAACGACTGTGAAAATACTTCGTTCGTCCAATCAGAGCATAGTTAATCGATTAACTATGGTCAAAGACACGAACGATAGTATTTCATTGTGCAAATCGCAGTATGTATAACGGCGCCTGATTGAACCCTCTAACTTCTAAGATAGTCTTCGCACTTCTTCCCCCTGGTTGCAATACATTTTGTTGTACATAATTTCAGAGAGTGAGAGTTTCCTTAAGGTAACAGCTCCTTAGAATAGACAAGTTTTGGGACTCTCATTACTTTTTTTGCGAGATATTTTGAAAGTGTTTAGAAAAGTAACGAGTTATTGACTCGAGAGGTAAAGCTTACAGAACCAGTTATCTGAGAAGACTTACCAATTTCTAACGGGCGACTAATTTCTAAAGTGTAACTGCTTTTACGAATCAACTTTTGACAGCTACCTAATAAAAATCAATGGTAATACAGTTGAACTTCCCTTTGCGACCGCCTCTCGTTAGTGACAACTTTTTCAAAATATCAAAAGTTTCCAACTGAAATCAATTCACTATGAAAGGAACCTCTCGTAAGCGACGACCTCTCATTATGTC